AAAAAAAAAAAAAAAATTACTGGAAAACATAGGCCCTAGCTGCCCTATGTGGTGCCCTTTGTGAAGTCCTGGAAGCTATGCCCATGTGCATCATGAGAAATGGTTTTTACTGTGTATAAGACTTCCCTATGTTGTGCTTAAGGACTCTCAGTGATGTATTTGATCATGGTGTGCTGGTATGCTAATGGGATACGTTTCCTGTCCTATATCATTCCACAAATTTAAGTGAATCAAGTTATGGCCAATTACATCCTGTGTGAACATAAACCCAAACCTGAAATACCTACTAATAATAATTTCCTAAATTGGTTTTTCTTGGTTTTTCAGTTTTGTTTTGGGAGTTTCTTTCTTGGATTTAGTTGTGGTCTTTGCCTTTCAAATTAGAAGAGTTCAAATGTCTAGGGATCCAAGGTTGTTCATTCATATTTAGAAATAAGGAAATAAAAAAACTGCCTGGAAGCTCAGTCTTCAAGGATTAGACATACAGTGAGCTGGGCTTCACCATGAGGCTACTGTATAGCCAGCCAGTCTGTTTTTTATAAGGGTTCTTTACATATGTTAGTCTTTTCTCTGGTATTCTAGAGACGGTGGAGGATGGAAAGGCACAGTAGTGGTAATAGGAATAAGTGTATTATTCTCACTATTTGGCAGAATATTTTTTAATCCTTCTGTTTTCCATGCCTGATACTTGCCCTGTCTATGTCTACAGTTTCTGAGTTTATAGCCTTTCTGATTCTGTGTCTGGTGAATATACATCTGATCTCCTGTGGGGAAAGAGTTACCTAACTATGCACAGGGGTTGGAATCTTGGAGTCTATATCTTCTTGACCCAGACTTCCACATACTTTCTATTTTCAGTCTTCTGGATCACCATGGCCTCTGTGACACATAGTGTCTTATTCCTGAGCCCTTCCAAGTTCTATGGAGAAAATAATTTTCCTTCTTGTGTAAGTCAGTATTTAGTTATGAAACCAGTAATGAAATGTAAAGAAGGAAAAACAGAACTAGTAAATGCAGAAACTATGACGTGTCAATTGAATGAGAGTAAACAAAGAAGGAATTAAGAACTTAGCAGTCCTCAAAGCCACGATTTAGACATTTATGAAGAGCAAGTGGCTGCCACAAAAACAGAGAGTAGTGCCCAAAAAGGGCAGAACAACAACACAAAAATATAGTCTCAGGAGCTAGGCTGCTGAGCGCTGCTGAAAGAGTATTACTGGGCCTCTTGCATGCGTATCGGCTCGTTTCTGCACACAGGAACCACGAAGGGAGGCTCTTTCCTCATATTACACCCCAACAGTATCTTTCTAGAACTTTCTATTGACAAAGGCTAACATTAGGCCAGCTGATAAGGGGAAAGTGCTTACAGGGTCCAGTTCTAGAAATAATAAAGCAACACAAAATGCTGGATTTGGAGTTAAAAGATTGAATTGATTACGGACACCTCTCATCCACATTTTTCATCTTCTAGAGGTATTCAGGTTTGGCCTTTCCCCTAAAATGAGCTCTCCTTTAAAACACTAAAGCACAGAGTTCTAAGGTGTTTCCTATTTAAACACAGATAGTAGTTACATTCAGTACTCCTTATTGGTTTGGGGGTGATTAATGAAGAAGAATTGAAAATACATTAACTCTACCATCTCCCTATATTTCTTTTTTTTCTTTTTTTTTTTTTTTTTGGTGGTGCAGGGGAGTACCAGGGATTGAATTCAGGGGCACTGGGCCACTGAGCCACATTCCCAGTCCTATTTTGTATTTTATTTAGAGAAAAGGTCTCACTGAGTTGCTTAGCACCTGTCTGTTGCTGGGGCTGGCTTTAAACTCCTGATCCTCTTGCCTCAGCTGGGATTACAGGCATGAGCCACTGCGCCCAGCCCTATATTTCATTTTAAAGCTAATACCTCTCTCTGAAATGTGATGGTCTCCAGAGCAATGGCAGTCACTAATTCATCCTTATTTCCCTGTTTCCTTCAGTGCCTCACCATGTTACAAGCTCCATGAAGCTGGTTAAATTAAATAAAATGTAGTTGCTTAAAAATAATTTTATAAAACTCACTATTTGTTCCAATCATTTTTATAGCCATAAAACAGGAACCTGAATCTCCATAAACCGTCTTATAAATCTATGCTGTTTATTAAAATAAGAAATAAGCAAAAGCACTTATAGATCAATGTAAACTCACTTTGAGTTCTACAAGAAAAGCACCCCACTTTGTCTATGTACATATGTGCAATAAAAAAGAAATGTTACTTTTATTAATTTGTTTAATGAGTACATTACTCTATTACCTTAGACACATGCTGCAATATAATATTTTTAATGGCTATCTTCTAAAGTGCATTAACTTATTTTAAAATGCCTATACTTACCAATTCAGGAATGTCTTTTACTTTCAGAGGAACTTGGATTAAACCCAAATGAGTCCTGAAACTAAGAGAATCACCATTTTCATAATTTGGGTTTCGAAGATTAATTAATACCTTTAAAAACAAATCCAACAAAATTGGTTAATTGTCAAGCAGTGATATTCTTGGTACATCAGTAAAAAATTAAAAACTGTTTGGAGTTATACATATATTTTAATCACATTTTAAAATTGTATTGAAATATTAAAATACAATACCATAAATACGCTTTTAAAATGATTTTAATATCCTAATTAATTATCTACTTTATAAAATTAAAAAGTTAAGAATTTAGTTAGAAAAAAAATCTTTTGATAGTGAAGAAAATAAAAATTGATTATAACATGGAAGTAGTTACCAAAAAAATTTTTAAAATGAACTCCAAGACTTTTAAAAACAGAAAATGATAAGATTTTGAGGAAGATGGTAGAATAACATTGCAGGGTATCTCCTCTAAACCAAATCCAACAAAACAAACAAAAACAAAAGGAGAAATTTCAAAAGCACAGCTAAGAAAAAAGACTGTTACAGCTTTCAAAAGTTTGCAGATAAAAATCATCTTAGATATTTGTATATCCTTTAAAATCTAGTAATCTTACTTCTATGAGTATGGAATATGAATATGAAATTTCATGCAGTGCATTCCATATGAAATTTGGACAATGAAAGACTATTAATCAAGCACTATTATAACAGAAGAATATGAGACAACTTAAATATCTTATTAGAGGAGATGACTTAAGTAAATTAGGGTTAATTCATATAATAAAATATAGCCTAATAGGCTTCCATTTATATAATGGCTATGAAAAATGTTTATAACATTATTAGTTCTCAAAATTAAAATGAAAAGTTCTGGGGATGCAACTCAGTGGTAAAGTATCCCTGAGTTCAATTCCAGTGCCAAAAAAACAAAAATAAAATAAAAAGTATAGTAACAATATGGTTACTGCTATGTAAGGATATATAGATAAATTTATTATTTGGTAACTTTTTAAATGTTTTTTTTTAGTTTTTGATGGACTTTTATTTTATTCATTCATTTATATGCAGTGCTGAGAATCAAACCCAGTGCTCTACCACTGAGCCACAACCCCAGTCCCATCTTTGGTAATGTTTTGTTATTTTTCTAACAACATATATTTTTCTGGACAGAATAACAATAACCTAAAAATATTTTTAATTGAGACTGTTGAGAAAAAGAAACCACAAAAAGTCCAGTGGAGGAGATTATAATGACAGAACACCATGATATCTGAAGAAGGCAACAGGAGTTGGTAACCAATGGCTGATAAAATGGAATGAGTTATGAGGCCAAATGACTTTTCTAAAATTATAAATATTATATCACAATTGGAAATATCAATGGTGTTTGTTTTAACAAATAATGTTTGTTTTAACAAACAATGTTGAATGTACATTAGTATAGAACAGCATAACTTTAGCCTAATTACATAAATAAAAAATTATACTGCATGACAATTCCCAAGCAGAAAACAGCAAGTGGAGAAGAAACTGAATATATGGATAACAGAAAAGAGAAAATATTAGAAATGCAGATATAATTAAGAAAATATTATTGAATTAAAGAAAAATATCTCAGTATGATTAATAAAAGAACAAATTCAGCAATAGTCCTCAAGGAAACAAGATGTTATAAGCTATTACAAAGTTATCTTTGTAAAAATTACATGAAATTCCAGTCCTTAAGTAACTATGTGCTAAGCACTATTCTTCCTGTTAGTGACAGAGCAGTTAAGGATAGAATTAATTCATAGCTGGTTTGTGGTAGCTTTGTTCTTACCTCCAGGGATACCTGTAAATCTCGTAATGCGACCCGTTAGTCAAGATGAGAAGACATATACTAACTAATCGTCTGTAATGGGCTAATTAATATCCACACCTTCCCTGGAAATATTCCATATTTGCTTACTTATGTTATATTTTGAAAAAATTTTTTGGCACCTGATTTAACCAATGGGGGTATAAAAGACCCTCTTGAAAAACTTGTCCCTGATTTAACAGACCAAGATAGCCTTCATGATCTTGATACTTTATAACCAAAGAACAAAGCATATGTTATGCAACTAACAAAGGACAGATGGAACGCTGCTGGAAATGTAAGTTTCTTTGTGTTTACTCGTGCTGCAAAAAAGTCTAATGGGGTGACCCTATGAAGTCCTGTGCTTGTTGTCAATTCCTTGACACTGTGTAATTGTTGCGGCAATGAACAAAACAGAAAGAAAACCTCCATCCAACCTTCCATTGTTATGGTAGAAAGCAGCCAATAAGCAAAATAAAGAAAGAATGGGTGACAAACGATAATTGCTGTATAGAAAAAGCTGGAAAGACATAAAGAAATCCAATCAGGAAGTTAGGGGGTGCTTAGCCGAGGTGATATTTAAGCAAAAATATGAGGAAGGAAGGAACAAGCAGGGAGGTATTTGGAAGAAAGTTGAGGGAAAGCAATGAGGCTAACATGACTGGAATAGAACAAATCAGGAGGAAAAGTAACAGGAAATAAACTCAGAGATATGATGGAGCATCAGATTAAAGAGGGTGTTTTGGGCCACTGTCATAACTTTGGATTTTATGTAGAATAAGATGGGACGCCACTGAATAACAGAAGAGTGACCAGTTCTGAACTGCATTTAAATTTCATTTGAAAGTTGTGCTAAGAACAGATTCTAGGTGGACAAGTAGTGGCCAGTTCAGTCACTACTACATAGTCCAAATGAAAGATGATAGCCTGGAGGTGGCAGTAGTAGTGATGATAAGAACTGGATATCATTTTAAAGGTAAAACTGACAGTATTACACCCAAGATCCAAGAGAAAGAGTAGAATTAAACTTGGGTGAATTAAAACGAGTTCCCATTGCCCAATGAGTTTCACTTAGATGTTTGCTATACCTCTCAAACTTAACTACACTCATCTTCACTAATGGACATGTCCCTCCTCCTATATTCTCCATCCCAAGCAAATACCTCTGCCCAACTACCCAATCTAGACAATGGGAGGCATTATCATTTCTTTTTATCATAGTCCCATATCTACTCAGTTCCCAAATCTTCCTTAAAATCTTCTTCAACTCTGTTAAATTCTTTCCATTTCCAATGCTGTTTTTTCAGTTTGACCCCTCATACTTTCCTTCCCTGTACACCTAAAACAGGGAAGGAATAAAAAAGGAAAAGATGTACTGAATACCGATATGTGCAGGCTGCAGGCTACATGATTTATAATCACTTATTTGTTAAGTAAAATCTTCCTACTTAATTTATCTGCCTCTAATCTTTCCATATTCCAATATATTTTCAAGGAGCAATCCAAACACAACTCTGATGCCATTCCACTCTTTCAGTGGCTCTAGGATATTTTACAGGATGATTTCTCTGCCTGGAGATATTTTTTACATTATCATTTCTCTCACATTATTCCTTCATCTGTATATGTATAATTATCCAACTGAACCTACCTCAAGAAAATCCTTAGGTGCATATACAGGTCGGAAAAGGCTTAAATCTAGAATAAGATAGATTAAAACAAAATTTCAGTTAATATGTGAAATCTTAGTAGTAATAAATGACTCTTTCCTCTGTTTCTGTGCAAACAGATTAATTCAAATGCTTGCTGAGTACTGATTATTTGTGTTAAATATTGGGATAAAAAAATGAATACAATCTCTCTCCTTCCAGCCTAAATGGCATATTATAGAAAAAATTAAGTCTCATGGATAAATTAAAATAAATTATTTAGAAGTGAGTTAACAAAACATTGTCCTTGTAATATAAAGGTTCTATATGGGAATTCTCCAAGTACTTGGAATATAAACAATGCATTATTAGTGAATTCCTCTAGTTATATTGAGCTGTTTCCCCTTTTCAATTCTAATTGTGCACCGCTTCTTCTATTAAGACACTTATTTCTTAACCTATTGCCTTGACTTTTTTTTTTTTAATGCAGTAGAGGGAGGGCAGGAGAATGAATATGTATTTGTCTGTCTGTACAATTATAGGTATTCATTTATCATAATAAATGAAGTACAGTTGTTACACAATTTTTACCTTGATTTGATCTCATAAAAATAGAAGGGAAACTGATAAAGGAGAGAAAGGGATGGGGAACTATTGGAGAATGACATCTAACAAATTATGCTATATCTAAGTACAAAAATACCATAATGAATACAGTTTTCATATACAATTATAATGCACTAAAATAATAATAAAAATAAAAGGAAAATCAGTAGAGCAAGCAGATGAGGGTAAAGGAGGAGAGAGAGAAAGGGAAGGTACAGGGGAATGAGACTAATCAAATTATATGCTTACACAAATATGACATAATGAATTCTATTATTATGTATAATTATAATGCACCAACAAAAATGGTAAACATTTTTTACCTTAATTAAAAGATAAGAGTCTTGGGAATCAGTAAATTTTGTTTACTCTTTTGTAAAAATGTTTTAAAATGTTACTTTTTAAAAAGGATAACCAATTTAAATAGCCTCAAAATAATGGAAAACACAGATCAAAGTTAGGAATTCTTAAATTGCAAAGTAGGAGTATAAGCAAACAAAACAGATGACAGAAAAATCAGTGGGGAGGAAAAGTTGTTATCCTTCAAGAGTATTACTTATTGTGTTATTCTGGAATCATAGTGAGGAAGACAATTCTTTTCCCATTACTCCATTTTGAAGAAAATTCTTCATGTACCTGGTTCATCAGTTCCCATTTCATTCCATTTATTGAGAAGTTCTTTTTGTTCTCCAACTGGTCTCTAAAAAAGGTAAATTTCACATTGGTTTTATTTTTGAAACTTAGCAATGCAGTTTAAAAATAAGAATCAATAACTTCTTTAAAAATTCAATAATCTACCATAACAGAAGGAAAAATAATCTTATTAAATATGGTCAAACTTTTTGGAATTACACTTAAATTAATTATTTAACTATGACATTATATCTAGTCTCAAGGTGCTAATGAGTCCAAGAAAAGAAGATAAATGATCTGTACTGGCCAGTAAATTTCACAAATAAAAACTGCTCCTCAGCCACGTACTACATCTCTTACCCCATCCAGCAATCTCAGAAATGCATCGCAAGGGGGACTGGCCAAGAGAGTGTGACTGTGAGTCAGTAGCATCATCTTCCTATATGAAAGACAGTATATTATACAATACTACATATTTAGACAGTTTTCATATAAATTTATTCTTTTTTTACACCACCGTTCTGGTGCCTTCAGTGGCTTGTCTTGGGATATTATCAAAAGAATATCCACTATATCTGTCAACCACATGGGTAAATAGTAGGTAGGGTGAATAAAATGAAGGGAAACATTTTCTCTTATTTGTGGACAACTATGTAGAATCTAGAATGTGCCACATGATCTTTCTCTTCTTTCCCATTTCTAACCCACCAAAGCCCAGAGTGAAGATTAATATTGAGTATTAGATCTAAGGGGAATTCTAGTTCTGCAAAGAGATGATAAATTTTTCATTTCCTATATTACTACTACATTACCTATTACAAGATCATAGTATGCCTAAACTCCATCTCCAATTCAAGATTATGACTACTGTGCTGAATTAGCCAAAATGTAAGGAGATGAAAGGTAATTAAAATCTTTTAAGTATGCTCATAATTTTTATAGCTAAATGTCTAAATAATCTATACTATAAATTACACATTTCTACTTATTCTCAAAAAAGGTTTGTTAGAATAATCATTAAGCATTCATAATAGAAATCTATATAGAATATACCCACATGATTGGCATTTACAGATTTTTATTTTAAAACAAGCTAATATACTAGTTAAAAAGAAATAATGTGCCTAATAGTTATAAAATTTCATCATTCTTTTTTGTAATTAATTCACAATAAAATACTTAGGTATAAAAATGTTAAAAAGTACCTTTCGTGCCAATGGGATACTCAGTTCAGTGCACATACTATTTAAACTCTTCAAAATTCTTTTTTCCCAACTTCCCTAAAATATAAGGAACAATTCATTATTATTTTTCATTAATAACACTGGAACGAATCAAAAATATTAAAGTTATTATGAATTACACAGAAATGGTAAAGCTGGTTGAGACTGTTAACCTTATTCATAAGTTCACTCAACAAATACTGATTACTGCTTACTATGTGTCACGTATCCTTGGTACTGTGAATTAAGCAGTGCTACAACTTGAATATTAAATGTCTCCCAAAGTATTAAAGACTTGGTTCCCAGGGTGGCACAATTGGGAAGTGGTAGAGCTTGTGAGAGGTGGGGCCAAGTGTAGGTCCTTAGGTAATTGAGTCATGGCTTTGTTGGGGGTTGTGGATATAAGGTGAGCAGTTTCACTCTGCCATATGCTCCCTGCAACATGTTCTTCAGCAACCCTCCCAGAGACCTAAAAGCACTGAGTCTACTCAATCATGGACTGAAACCTCTAAAACCATGTATCAAAATAAACCTTTTGTCTTTATAAGTTAGTCATCTGAGTTGCTTTTTTATAGTAATGGGAAGCTAACACAGCAGTGATTAACAGAAAGTCTCCATCCTCAAAGAACTGACATTCTAGTTGAGAATAGAAATGTGGATAAATTTTAAAATGCCAATAAATCATATGATGATAAACATCATTAGGGAAAATGCAGATAATAAAAGAGTAAATTAAGTTTAATTATTTTATAAATGTATGATACTTACGAATCCCAATAACAACCTATTAAAATAAAAATGTACAGCTATTACACTGTAATTTTTCTAAACATGACATTTCACCCCTAAATATGTTAGAGTAAAGACCTTCTTCTATAAACCACAATACTGTTATTACTCCTAAAATACTATCAATATTTCATAATATTGTCTAATATTTAGTTCATTCAAAATTTTCCAGCTGTTCCAAACACACAGTTTTTTTTTTTTTTAAATCCAGGATCCCCTAACCCTAACACTAAATTTATAAAGTACATTTTTAAGTGACTTATCACAGTTCTACTAAGTGGATCTCCCACTGTACTAAGAATTTTGATTTACCACTTAACATTTAACATTAGATATTATACATAGTGAAAACAGTTAAAAGAAAAAATATACTGGAAACAAATTAGACATCAGAAGAAAGTTCTAAATGGGAAAGAGAAGAGAAAATGGCTATATAATTTACTTGTGCTTACATATATTATTTTTTTAAATATATAAAATGTGTTTCTTTACCCTCATTTTACAAATGTAGAAACGTAAAAAGAAACACATGAGAACAGAATGAGAAAGACTTAAGAACTGAAGAAATGCTGATCAAATATTTATCATTTTTTTCTTTGATCCAAAAAAGAAACAGGAACTAAGACAAAATTCACAACAAAAGAAAGAACAGAACTAAAAATTAGGGAAGACAAGAGGAAAAGGATGTTCAATTTAGAAAACCTGGGCTTTTTATAGCTAGAATGAGAGTAAATAATATATAACATCTGACTTTTCAAATAATGAAAATTCATTGATTTGACAAATATTTACTGGACACCAATTAAATACATGCCACTAAAGATTGATAAAACAGCATTTGTTTCACTAAGAAATACATTGCTTTTATGGTGGAGGAGGGAGGAGATAAGACTGATACACAAATAACAAGAGAGGAGTTATAAAAAGTTCCTAAGAAGTATATCAGAAAGAACATAAAAGAATGAGCAAAGAAACAAGAAGCTAGATATAACAAAACTTCTCGTTGTCAATGGAACTCATACCACTTTCTTGAAAATCCTTTTTTAAATAATAAAAAAAGAGATCCCAGTGGTTGGCCATGTCTTCTCCATTTCCTAGATAATGAAAAGGTGGTCAAGACTTTTACAAGGTACTCCTTGCAAGAATCTCAGTTAGAAGGTCAGAGAAGTCATTTTCATCAAAGTCTGGAGTTATCAGTGGAGTCATTTCCATAGACATCATAAACAGGAATAGGATTTCCTGACAATAAGGGGAAATCCAAGATGCAGAAGCAAATGACTGCTTTCAAGCTAGATCATACTTTAGGTTCCCTCAAGAACTCAAATTGTTACTAAGTGGATTCATTCATGTCTTCTTCACTCATGGACTCACTCATTAACATAACGAATACCTACAAAGCACAAAACTAGGACCAGTGAGTAAAAGTTATAAATATATGACATTTAATATGAGAACAAAGCATTCAAACAAGTAGAAAGTTTTAACCACAATAAGACTTAATGAAATCAGGTGTTCCCCAGTCCCAGAAATCATCAAGTGAAAGTAGATCAGAGATGAATACCTGCCAGAGTTTGGACTGGATAGATTCCTTACTATGATCATGAACATAAATTTCAATGTTTCTGATTGTTTCCTTTATGTAATATTTTAGAGGTGAAATTTAAACTGTATGAATATTTAATAGTAGGGTAAATTTTCTATTTTTGTTTAATTAATTATTAATTAAATCATAATTTACCGAAATATCCATTGAGCACCTCCCATGATCCATGCACTGAGCCAGAGACACAGTGGTGAAAATAGAGACCACAGAATTTATGTGACAATATAAACAATTAAAATATTGTGGTGTGAAAGCACTGGGCAGAAGATGGGAGACACAGGAAAACCTGAGTATCTGAGATTTGGGAGTTAGAGAACCTTCCTAAAGAAACTGTCATCTCACCTTATAACCTAAATGATGTAAGTTATCCAGAAATATATGGGATTGAGAGGAGGCAGTTTCAGGTAGAAGCAATGGTATAAGCAAAAGTTCTGCTGGAGCAAACGAAGGAGATTACACACTATTTGAGAGAAGAGAATGGCGAGATGAATGGAAGGAATGGATGGACAGTGTGAGAAGACAAGAAATGACACTGAAATAGTAAAGAGGCACAAGACCGTTTATTGCCCTGTAAGCTATAGTAAAGTTGAAAAACTCTCTCTTGAAAGTCTTAAAAATTTTAAGAAATGGGATGACAATACAGAAGGCAGAAAGACCAGTTAGGAAGGGAATAAGAAGTAAGTACTATATAAATAACAAGATTCTCATTTTTGCTAATATTGCTGAATTGATAATAACTTGCCTCACAGAGTTGTCATGAATATTAAAGAAGTGGATACTTTTAAAGCACCAAAATGGTACGTGGCAAATAATTAGAGCTCTATATGCTGACTAGTATTCGTTCACAAGAAAATTCATGCACTTATAAACATCATACTTAAGCTTCTTCAAATACTACTTTCTTTGAAGCATCCCCAATGTATTTTACATGGAAATAGGGTTTTAAGATCACACAACTTTGAATAACACTGAAATAAATAAAAATAAACAGCATTCTTCATAGCAGAACTCTGAGCTTGCTTTAACATGCCAAATTAATTGTTAACATCAAAATAAAGTAGTACTGGATTAAAATCTCAAGTATAAAATAAATATCCATGAGTCTAGACTGCAGGTGTAGCTCAATGGTAGAGCATTGAACATGAACAAGGCCCTGGGTTCTATTCCCAGCTCCATAAAAATAAATAAATAAAGCAAGCCATAACTCTATACTGATATAAATAAATGATTAAACAAATAAATGAGGGAAAAGAGACAACTTATACAAAGGAATTCCAAATAATATATGTACATACTCTTTCCTCAAGGAGGTGGAAGAAAAATGTCCCACTCCTTAGGTGTGGGCTGTACATAGTGATTTCCATCCAGAGCATAGTGTGGAAAGAGGAGGGGGGAAAATTAATATTATAGTAGAGAAAACTCACAAACACTACCTCAGTCAGGTGATTGAAGTCAACATTGTTTTTTGTTTTTTTTTATTACAAAGAGCAAAGAAAAACCTGTTAAGAAAACACCCATACCCTGTCCTTTCCAGTTCTGCTACAAGACTTCCTGGGCACTTCCTTTTTATCACATAACACTTTCTGCCTTGTATTTCAGCTACTTGTGTACAAGTCTTATTTCAATTATAAAACATGTAGTTACCTAAATGCAGAATTTGTGTCTAATTTATATCTAAATCTCTACAAGATAGTGTCTTCTACTCAATAGGAATTCAGTAAATATTTTTAAAGTTAAATATTGTAATAATGTATAGAAGAAACAGCAAACTCATTTACTGATAATCCAACACAAACTCACTAAACTCCTTTAAACTGTTAATTCTTTGAAAAGAAATAAAACAAAAGTCAGAAAGATGTAGCAGAAATTACTAAAGAATGCAACTGTAAAAGGAGAACTATAAAATGATAAGAGAATACAAAGTAAGAGAGTGAAATTACACAGTAAATCAAAAAGGGATGCCATCTGAGCTGGTTCTCACACAATAGATGAATTTTCATAATGCAAGTAAGCAGAAAGGGCTTTCCAGGACAGGAAAACAAAATACTGAAAGTGTTAATGCAAAAGGGAAAGAGAAAGAATCATTTGGATAGGTACACAGGACAGTTTTAAGATAGCAGAGACTGACAATGTGGAAAGGGAAGCTGGGGACAGATAGTAAAAATTCTTAAGTGCTCAGCTTTGGAGAAGGAATTTCATTTGTTAAGCAATTTGGATTCACTGAAGACATATTAAAAGGCAGTGAGATATGTTATAAGGGTTCATCTTCTTGTAATTCAAGGTAATAGTATTAAGAGTATCTAAGGAGATGACAAGAGAAGATAGATTGAAAGTTGAAAAGTACAAGAATAACAAAGATTAAAGCACAATGTCTGAAAAAAGTAAGCACTCAATAGAAATCATCAATACCAACATTATCATCATCATCATCATCATCAATATATGGCAATGAAAAGAAAGAGCAGACTATAAGACTATAGGAAATAATTTATCAAACTTTGTGGCTATTTGCATAAAAAAAAACAGAGATCAAAGGTATTTCAGTCTGAATTATTGTAATACTGATGGCTATCTATTAAATAAATAGGGAGGTTAGGAAGAGATGCTCACTTTAAGAACAAAATAAACTCAGTTTTAGAAATGTTGAGCTTAATCTCACATTTAAGCAGATAGTTCATTTCAGAGGAATGGAGCAAAAAGAGATGTGGCAGTAAAAAAGAGGGAAGCTATGGTGACTTGAATAAAACAACCTGAATTTTTTTTTTAATTTTTTAGTTGTAAATGGATTTTTAAATTTTATTTATTTATTTGTTTGTTTATATTCAGTGCTGAGGATCGAACCCAGGGCCTCATACATGCCAGGCAAGTGCTCTACCACTGAGCCACAACTCCAGCCCCTGAATATTCTTAATAAAGTAAATGGCAAATGCTAAAAATGAGTAAGACAGTGATAGAAATGGGAGCCACTGCCGCAGTCTGGCTGGGCACAATTCAGGAGCCACTTGTCAAAAGAAACTAACTTTATTTTTAGAACTACAAACGCCAAGCAAAACAGTTCCTCAGGAAAAAACCCTCAGAGCCCAACTGCCACCACCGGCTTCCACAAGCCTCTCACCCACACCAACCCCACCACCTCCCCCAATCCTCCTGCTCTTGAGGCTGATTGGCTGGGTCACGTGGGCGGAGCCAAAGAAGTCCCCCAATGAGCAGCTCCGTGGAGGAGCCAATCAGCTAGATGTTGCTGGGGCCGCTGTGAGCCAATCATCAGCTGGCAGTCTGAAGGGCAGGGAAACAGCCCAATGAACATCACCGCAGAACAGCCAATCAGCTAGATGTTGCTGGGGCAACTGTGAGCCAATCATCAGCTGGCAGCTGGAAGTTTGCTGGGGCCCCTTTGGCTGTGGCTCTCAACAAGCCACCCAGGTATGGGAAGGTTTTAGAAAATCTAAATATAAACCAGATATTAAGTAAAGAATGAAAAAGCATTAGCAGGCAGCACAAAGAATCCACTGAAAGTTAAAAAAAAAAAGACATGAATTTAGATTAATGATTAACAATTAATTATGTAATTTTCCCCTAAAGTAGTCAATAGTTTGGGAGAAACGTAGACAACAGAAGTGGCCTTAGTCTGAGGACTAGAACAGCAAACAAAATAGAGTAAGAGGTTATGAAGTGCAAGAGAGAACATGATGGAATGAATGGCATCGTGAAGTCCAGACTAAATAGTTTTCATTCAGAGAAGAGAACTGCCCAAGGGAACAGGAAACTAAAGAACTGGATGTCCCATGGAGAACAAACACAGGAAGATAGGCATACACTAACTGGAAGAAGAGATAATTCATATACGGATTATACATAGTGACTTTCATCCAAAGAATACAGTGTAAAAAGGTAGGGGGTATGGATATTGCAGTGGAGAAAACTCACAAAATACTACCTCAGCCAGGTGATCAAGGTCAGCATCAATAATAAAAATCATATGACAATGGTTAAAGAATAAATTCAACAAACATTTTTGAGAGTGTTCTGTGGTCTAGGCACTATGCTAGATGCTGAGTGCAAAAAGCACAGTCACTGTTTTTAATGAATATTTATTATTTAATGAATAATTTAGTGCAGGGGTTGGCAGACCTTCTATAAAAAGGCAAATAGTAAATATTTTAGATTTTGCAGGCTCAAGGTCATGACTGGAACTACTTAACTCTGCCATATTGTAAAAGCAACTATAGACAATTGCAAATGAATGAATATAACTATTTTCCAGCAAAATGTATTAATTCCTAAAATTTTCCTGCACCATTCTTTTTAAATTAATTTACTTATTATTTCTCCCCCTTACAACTTATTATAAAACTTTCCAAATATACATAAAAGGTGAAAATAACATTTCAGTGAACATTCATGTACAGAAGACCTAAATTCTACCATCAACATTTTACAATTAATACTTTCTCATGTTTCTAATACCTATCCATTTGTCTTTGCACCTAACAATTCATCTTATTTTTGCTTGCATTTCTAAGTAAGTTGCAGACATTATTATACTCTTCCCCTAATACTTCAACATGCATCATTAACTATAGTTCAATATTTTTAGCTCATTTTTGTTTCTCTTGAGGTAAAATTTGCATAAAACAAATGCCACATATAAGTATGCCTTTCCATGAGGTCTAGCAAATACATAACACATGTACAACCTAAACCATTACCAAGACATTGAACATGTCTGTCACTCACAGAACATTCCTTTGTATTTCTCCCAATAAATCTCCACCCTCAAACTCTCAGAGGCAATAATTGTTCTGTTTCCACCATGATTATTTTTCCCCATTTTAGAACCTCACTTCAATGGAAAAAAGTATATATTTTTAAGTAAAACTTTCTTTTACCCAAAATAATGTTTTCAAATTTATTGAATCAATACATTATTGATATTCATTGACACATTACTGATACATTGGTCTATCAACTGTTTATTTCTATTTATTCTTCAATCATAGCCAATTAATTGAAGGATATAATTTGTTATTTATTCTTCCAACTGATGAACAGCTGGGCCATTTCCAATTTGAAACTCATACGAATAAAGCTTCCATGGAAGTTCTTCAACAAGTCTTTTTGTGGACACTTGCTTTCCTTTACTTTGGGTAAATAACTAGGAAGAGAAATGTCTGCTCATAAAAGTCACATGTGTTTATTTTCACAATAAATTCTCAAACTTTTTCTAAAGCAGTACCATGGGAGTTTTACATGCCCATCAACAAAGTGTAAGAATTCAGGTTACTTCATAGCCCTATCAATATTTGTCTTGTCAGTCTTCAATTGTGGCCACTCTGTTGGTTGTGCAGGGTAGATTTTTTTTTTGTATTATTTTGATTTTGATTTTTCAACCTTTAAAAATGTTTTAAAAATTCCTAGCTTTCCAGGACTATAAAAATAGGAGGAAAGCTGAATTTGGACCATAGTCTACAGTTTGTTAATCCCCAATCTAGTGGATAAATCTGAAAAGAAGATACATTCCTTTATCGTTCACATGGATTTTTATCAGAAACGATGATATACTTTAAGAATGAACTCATTATTTTCATAATGGACTTTCTCTTCCTTCAGTCATGATAGAAAACCAACCTTTGTTTCTTATACTTAATATATTAAAACTGATACTTTCTTCATATCTTTTAGAAAATTCCAAAAAATATTTAGACCCAACTTTCTTAGTTTTAGTTTCTTGAGTTTAAATCCCTGCAACAAAGACCACACAATTCTTTTACAAGTGTATTATTTAACTATTATGTTTCATGACAAATAAGTAAGTAAATATTATCTCACCCTAAGAGATACTACCTTGAGAAAGAAATATAAATATTTCTTCAAATATCTCCACATTTTTTGTTTATATTGCCTTCTTTCACCATCTAATTTTCAGGATTTTTAAATAAAAATAAAAGTTGAAAAATTAAAATGTACCTATCATCTACTATTATGGAACTCAAAGCAGCAAAAAATTTTTAAGAGCAGCAAAATCATGATGATAATTACTGAAGCTGTGTGATGCATTTGTGGGTGTTTCTTCAGAGTATATTTGAAATTTTTCATAATAAAAACTTTTAAAAATCTAATTCCAAGGCTATTCTAGAGAGTGAAGTCCGACTCTTTGTGATGCCCATGGAGCACTTCAACAATGGCTACCAGAGAGCCCTACCCAGCATGGAGAAGAAGGCTCTGCCAAAGGGAGGAAGACCACGCTGTCCCAGTGAAGGACAGATAAGAGAATTGGGGGGGAAATGTGATAAAGCTTATTTATTGAGTTTCTATCCTAACAGATTTTAATAGCTTTTCCATTTAAATTATTTTATTATTTTAAAGTGATCTTAGTCATTGCCAATCCATTAGTATGTGAGAACAAACATATTTCAAATATAGTGTCAGTAACACTACTTTAAAGCTTGATATTTTAAGAGGGAGCACCTCAGCAATGGCTGTCAGAGAGCCCTACCCAGCATGGAGAAGGCAGCTCAGGAACAGTACTCTGACAAAAGGAGGTGAACCAGGTTGGAGGTGAAGCCAGTGAAGGACAGAGAGTTGGGAAATGTGATTCATTCATATTTAATGTTTTTAGTATCATAAGACATGACAACTAGATTGTCACATGATCATTTTATTACATTTTAAATGGCCAGTATAGTACACTTTCCCCTCTTCTATTCAGTTTTTTTCAGGATTACTAGAGTTAAATAGGTATAATCCTTGGTTATTGAAAATAAAGAGTATGCACGCACTAGGGACACCACTTTAGTGGTTCTACCCAGTCTTTCATATAATGAATAACATGTACTCCTGATATCAATGAGAACTTTACTCTGAATTACATAACTCAGCATGAAAAAGTAAAATTAAAATGAATAATAGCCAACCTGAGCTTTCCTCATGTATACCAAAGGTTCCTTGAGATGTTCAGGAGGTGCAGCAGGATGACTAGGTAAAGGATACCTACAAGCAAAAAGAAGCTGCTAAATATTATAAAGAACTCTTGATAATTAATTCTCTTGATAAGAAGTTATTTACCTCTATAGTCTATGTTATAAATGAAAGAGAATATTTGTTCTATGTGTTTACATGGGGTGCAAAAATCTAATAAAACTTTAATTCTTTTTGCACTAGTAATGAAAAATTTTTAATTGTTTTAGAAGTTAAATTGCTTGATAGTCTGAATTCATAAACTGAGCTAATCTCTATAGTTACTCACATGAAAATGTCTATTTTAGCACATAAATATTATAATATTAAGAGGAATTTTAAGGTTTAAAAAATGCATTAACTTATCAATACATCAAATCATTTCATTTCTCCCAATTTCTTTGTCTAAATGATATATATTTTTAAAAAACTGAAATGGTAATATAAACACTTCTTATGATACTAATCATGTTTTTTATATATATATATTACATAAACTCACAAATTGAACAAAATTTAAAAATTTTATGGCATTATGAACTCTATTTTCCAAGCAACATTACATTTTCCATTCGAAATATATAGTTTTCAAAGAAAATATATTTACTTAATCAATAAATACTTGATGTTGGCGAGGATGTGGGGGAAAAGGTATATTCATTCGCTGCTGGTAGGACTGCAAATTGGTGCAACCAATGCAGAAAGCAGTATGGAGATTTTTTGAAAAACTGGGAATGGAACCACCATTTGACCCAGCTATCCCTCTCCTCAGTCTATACCCAAAGGACTTAAAAACAGTATACTTCAGGAACACAGCCACATCAATGTTTATGGCAGCACAATTCACAATAGCTAAACTGTGGAACCAACCTAGAAGCCCTTCAATATATGAATGGATAAAATAAAATGTGACATATATACACAATGGAATATTACTCAGCAATAAAAGAGAATAAAATCATGGCATTTGCAGTAAATGGATGGAGTTCGAGAAGATAATGCGAAGTGAAGTTAGCCAATCCCAAAAAGCCAAATGTTTTCTCTGATATTAGGAGGCTGATTCATATTGGGGTAGGGAGGGTGAGTATGGGAGAATAGATGAACTCTGGACAGGGCAGAGGGGTTGGAGGGGAAGGGAGGGCGATTAGAAATGATAGTGGAATGTGATGGTCATTATTATCCAAGGTACATGTATAAAGACATGAATTGGTGTAAATATACTTTGTATACAACCAAAGATATGAAAAATTGTGCTCTATATGAGTAACAAGAGTTGTAATGCATTCCACTGTCATATATAAATTTTAAAATTAATTTAAAAATTAAAAATAAATAAATACTTGAGCCATTCTAAGTACTGAGTATATGGTAGTAATTAGAAAACCTCTGACGTTCTAGGAAAAAAGGCAGTCAATAATTATGAAAACAAATACATAATATCAGGTAGTAGGAAGTGCCATGAGAAAATAAAAGCAGAGCAATGAGATAGAAGTGAAGGCCTCTGGGGAAACCCCTGCCAAAAAAAACCCCTGAGTCTTTAGATAACTTAGTAGCGCTTATCTTAAATACAAGATAATCTAAAACTATCTCACATTGTGTAATAAAGAGGCATGTGTTTCATTATATCTAAATTTAAAAAGATTTTAAAATTTAGGATTGAAAATTGAGAGCATTTACTGAAGATTTTAAAAGTTATTTAATAATCAAAGAAATTTATCCAAAAATACAAGTAACAAGAGGCAACCAGAAAGTGTTTCATATTTAGAAATACTTAAAGAGCTAAGTGTTCAAGGTAAAAGAGAGAGAAATGTGAACAAAACACTCTAAAATTTTGCCCTCATAAGAGTTTACATTTAGTAATTTGAAGAGAAAAGAGTTGTTAGGTAACACACTCTTGTTAGGCAATCACACCCTTGATTCCTGCTTCTTGTCCCCCTCAATACTCCTCATATTTCCCTACCAACTGACAGAAACTTATTTTAGGCAACAATGAAACCTTCCTTGCCCTCATCTAGCAAGTTCCTAACCAGTTTTCTCTGCTTCCAGACTACTGGCAACCTACTTGCCAATTTGCTTGACTGTTAATCAGCATCATGTTTTCTTTATTTATGAACAAATGTATTTCCAATGTCAGATATAATGTCTGGCACATAACTAGATAACTAATATATTGTTGAATGAGTAAAATACAAATGTGATCTTTGTCACTAAAAATTTTAACATAGGACGCAAATCCTCGTAGGATCCAGTCTACAAAGTCTTAAGTAAGCACATCCCTGCCTACATATTAGATTCTTCCAGACCCCTTCACCTTCTTAGCCATACAAACTTTTTTTTTTCTTCTAAAGTGCCACATTCTTTTTACCTCTGTACTTCTAGAGTGCTGGTCCCTTCTGCCAAAAATGCTTTTTCTCTCTACTAATTCTAGCTCAGTGATTCTGATCTCAGTCTGAACACTGTTTCCTTTGGTTAGCCACCATGGCATCCCCAAGTCTAGTTAAGTGCCTGTCTTATGTGCTTCTTTTACTTACTGTACCTTAGTTACCACTTTAAAGTCTGTGTGCCCCTGGGGGAAATAAGTTTCATAAAAGCAATAATTATCTAGCTTACTCATTCATTATTCTCATTACCTCGGAGAATAAACAAAAGGTGGCATTTAAAACTAAGAGGGCAAAAGAGAACCACATAATTTTGGAGGTACCCAGGTCCACCGCTTAAGCACTCTCTCAGTGAAAGCCATGAAGAGACTCACTCAAAACCTTGTGGTCTAGTGTAAGCACCCATTATCCTAACAGCTTCTATTTTAGGATCCTTGCTACTTGACACTCATACCTCTCTAAGGCATGGTAGACATTTACATTTATCTGCTACAATAGTGGACTATTTGTGTTATAACATATGTATATGTTAGACACATTCATATATTTACACACATACATACGTATATAGTAAGGCATTTGTTTTGTTTTGGTTTTGTATGTTGCTGGGGATCAAACCCAGGGCCAATGCATACTAGGAAAGAGTTATCCCTCAGCCAAGATTTTATTCAAGTTTTATTTACTTCTTTAATTTATATTCCTTAAGGGAAAATAACAGTCATCTAATTCTTCATAATCTGCTCTGCACAAATTGCAGTGAAGACTAAGACACAGAAAGAAATCAGTACATTTCGGCTGTCTTATTTAAATCTTTGTAGTAAGGTTAGAATTAATAATTACATTAAGTCTCCCCAATTTAACAAATATTTATCATGTGCTAGCATTGGTTAGGTGGCTCAATAATTTTATAGACTCAATGTCACTTATTTGATGCTATTAGAGATACTAAAAGAAACAATATAAGAATTCTTATTCCAAAATATTTTTAATTCAGTCAAAAGATAAAATACAGACATACGTCAGACGCAGTAAAAATCCATGGGTTTTGGAATCAGATAGCTGGAGGTCAAGCCCTAACACAGCTATTTATTAGATATATCATCTTCAACAAGTTACTTAAGTGGACTACTATGGTTTGATGTCTGTTTTCTCCAAAATTCATGTTGAAATTTAATTGCCTTGTGACAGTATTAAAGTTCCTCTGAGAAATGATTAGGCCATGAGGTCTTCACCCTCATAGGCTTTACAAAAGGAAGAGTTTAGCTTCCTTTTGCCCTTTCTTGCCCAAGTGCCTTTCATAAGGTGACAATGCAGCAAGAAAGCTCTCACCAAATGCTACCACCCTTGATATTGGAATTCCCAGGCTCCAGAACTGTGAGCCAATAAATTTCTGTTACTTATAAATTACCCAGTCTCAAGTATTCTGTTACAGTAGCACAAAAAAGACTAAGATATGGTCTAAGCCTCCTTTTTCTCTTCTGTAAAATGGTAATAATAACAAATTCTACTTCACAGGCTTGTTACAAAGACTACATTAACAAGCTAATGTATATAAAATGCTTAGCATAGCACCCGCTGCAAAATAAGCATGCCAGCAATGTCAATTATCATTATTATAACACTGATTAGTTAATAAATATTTAACTAATTGCTTAAAATAAACAAAAAAGATAATTAACCAAAATACACAATCTGAAGTGGGAAGAGCTAACCTATCTGTGTAGTCCAAGTATTCCACACACCTATTCGGCATGAATGCATGTTTAGCTTCAATTATTTAGTATTACCTAATGAATACTCCTACTTTACTTTTTACTTTCTTTACTCATCCATCTAATGGTTGTAGCTAATGAAAAAAGGTACAGAATATACTAAGTCCACTTTATTCTCCTGACTTATGTTAGGGGAGACACTTCATCCCACTTAGAATATGCCTTTCTCTGTGACAAGAACTCCATCACCCTAACTCTCTCCAGGTCCTCACTATACTACAGATAAATTTAAATGCTTTATCCAATGTTGAAATCTGGGAAGAATAAACTGAACATGCTCATGGTGATACACTGGTATCTGACTGGAATATAAAGTCTATTTAGTTTTAGAGTTTAGGTGAGGCACTCATTTTGCTCTTGCACTAAGCTATGCTCTCCTACCTAATCTTTAGCAGTCATAAAGTGTAATTTCAATCTTCCATTTGCCATTTTGTTTTCTTTTTAACTTTCTATTTGTTCAGAAACAAAATGAGGAAGAAAGGTAGTACTACTGAGCTCCTTTAAAATTCCCAACAAGTTATTAAAAATATATTTATTTAAAGTTCTATCATGTAGAATGTTGGAAACATGATAATGAATGAAAGATAGTCCCTGCTATCAGGTAAAAAAAAAAAAAGATAGTCCCTACTGTCTGCCACACAAAACTGCTTTCAGGAATATATTGTCACAAAAATAGCAATCATTAATAAAACATCCTCATATTATCCAATGTTTGGAATTATATACAGGAGGCAGCTTATTGTCATGATAAATATCTATTCCTCTGATTATTAGTACCACCAAAGGTATAATCACAGTCAACTTCAATTAATAGGTAGCACCTAAGTTGATATTATTTAAGAATTCAAAAACCAATGGGGAAGATAGTAATAAGCAAAGTAAATATTAATTTAGAAAAAAAAATGTGTATCTAAAGCATATGTCCACAGGCCTTCATCTGTGTCTTTTAATTTCAGAAGGAAAAAAAAAAACTGGAAATAGTCTGGTTAAGCTGTGTAATTTTATTTCCCAGTTAATCATAGATTAGAGAGGGCAAGTTAGAAATGGAAGTGTTAGAATATTAGAAACAAATAAAGTGATAGCAGTAAAAATGCAAAACAAAACAAAACCAACAGGCATAAGAACTAAGACTATATGTTCCATGAAGGCAGAATTGTGTTTACTTTCTAGATCCCCAATGCCTAGCACAATACTGGCATATGGCACATGGCAGTTACTCAATAAATAATTTATTCATAATAGAATGTTGAATAAACTACAAAAGCTAACATTCTGGATTTGTATTTTGTGTGATGGCAAATAGTTCTACATGTTTTAACAGACCCTGATGGTAAATCTAGAGAAGCGAAAACACTGATGTTGCCAGGCCCAGTGGTGCACACCTGTATCCAGTGGCTCAGGAGGCTGAGGCTGGAGGATCACAAGTTCAAAGCCAGCCTCAGGAACTCAGCAAGGGCCTAAACAACTCAGTGAGGGCTTAAGCAACTCAATGAGATCCTGTCCCAAAATAAAGTATAAAAAAGGGCTGGGGATGTGGCTCAGTGGTAAAGTGCCCCAGGGTTCAATCCCTGGTACCAAAACAAACAACAACAACAACAAAAAAAATACTTACGTTCTTAATGATGACACCAATTTTGCAAAGAAAAAGGGCAATTGTTTTTATATTTGTAAGTTTGTAAGGATAGAAAAAAGTATAATATCTAAAACTATGACAATAAAAAGAATGTTAGTAAGCTCCAATTATCTGAAATATTAAAAGAAATATTCCCTAATTATGCTGAATGAGTGAATTGGTTTTTTTAAATATTTATATTTTAGTTGTAGTTGGACACAATACCTTTATTTCACTTATTTATTTTTATGTGATGCTGAGGATCGAACCCAGGGTCTCAAATGTGTGAGGCAAATGCTCTACCACTGAGCCACAACCCCAGCCCAAACTGTTAATATAAAATTCTTGGTGATAACAAAAACCAATCTCTTCATTATTAATTACCAGGCAAGGTTGTAGTAATTTTTAATTATATTAACTTACTTGAAATGCCATATAAATATGAATGAGAAAAAATAATACAATGAGCATACAGAGCAATATTTGAGGGTTTTTTGTTTTGTTTTTTCCTTCAGAAGTATGTTTACTGCATTTGAAATGATACATCAGTGATCTCTGAGTTATAAAGGGTAAAAGAAAATCCTCTCATAACAAACTGACAAAGGTAAAAGGTAAAACACTTTCACAACAGCATGAACCACACACTCAGAAACAGATCTGGGTTTAATACAAATGACATAATTCCTGGTCATCTGCAGCCACTTTTATAACTTCATACAGATAATGAATTAGGCTAAAATGCACTATATATTTGGTAGACTTCAGGACCAGTATCCTTAGTACATCACAAAAATATTTTGATATCCCAAAGAAGCAAGACTTGCAAGTAAGCATTTTAAACATAACTTTTGTTACTTACAAAGTAAATATAGCTTAACAAAACTGTATTTCAAAATAGGTGGGAAAAACTCACACATTCAGTTCACTGTAAACAGCATTCTGAAGTTTCTTCTCCCAACCTGTTTTTAAGGAATAAAAATAAGAATAAAATATATTAACATAAAGTTCATTAAATAACATACATCTTAACAAAATTTAACTCACTAAATCTTTGGCATCAGATTCGTTTGTGAAAGAACTTTGTCAAGTGCTAAATGCTATGTAACACAAGGTATTAAGGAATTACTTACTACACCTTTACCATGACCCTCAGCTAATACTGAGTTACAAAGTCATCAACATTATATATTTTTAAATTTAAACTTTTGTGCCATTTTCTCAAGTTGTGAGAAACATTTCCTTCTTCGTCTATCAAGGTGCTCGCTGAAGGCCAAAATCTTTGGATGTTGCTATGACAAATGTGCCAAGGGGAAGGCAGGAAACAATCTGGCACCTGACCCAGACAGGCACAAGTAACTAGTTACAATTAACTAGTCACTAAGTTCTTGGACAACAGATACAGATTATTATGAATTACCATCACTTAATATCTCATTTTCCATATGCATGGATTTCTATAGAGAAACTTTCTTGTTCTACCAAAAAAAAAAAAATTTAAGATTTTCTTTTTGTTTGAAAGCACAGAAGAGGTAGAAAAAAAATGTAGAAAGAAAAAAGTCCCAGGTGAAAAGCAAAATGACAAGGTACTTTACTAAGAATATACTTACAACCTTAAGGACATTTTGCAAGATGAAAAAGATATTTAATAGTGATTATAAAGCACAGAGTGTTCCTTATTCTTGCACCATGGCTGATAGTTCTAATTATCACTAGATAGAAACCTATTCAGCATAGTTTTTATAATTTTGAATGAGTAACTAGAAGTATGGGGACACTTAAAGAATTAGGAAAAAACATACAAACCTGACACTTTAAAGTATTCTTTAATGTCTTCTTTTAGTGATTCAAGTTTAATTTCAGGTCTCTGAAGGCTGGCCTAGTTTTTTGAAAAAGAAGAAGAAAAGACAGGGATCAAAAGTGAATCATTGGGGTTGATAATATAATGCTAGTGTAATTTTTAAAAAAGGAATGTCCAAATGTGAGTATTATTTGAAAAATTCACTTTGAGATATACAGAAATATCTGGAATAACTCATAAGAGAGAGAAGACTTTCCTACATAGTCTTAAAACAGACATTCCTTGACAGAACACTATAGTCTAATCAAAATATAAAAACTTGAAGTTTAAAAAAATGTATAGCAGTTATGAATGCTAAACATCAGATTTTATATATTCATTCACTTAATATTATATCCAACAGATATAGCACCTATACCTAATGACCAAAAACCCAAGTTATATCGATGTAAATCTATTTTTATACAATGTCTTCCTCTTTGGATTGATACTAAATGTAAATAGGTGTTTACTGTGCATATTTATGAAAAACACATTAAAACTACCAGTCTTTCATCTTCAAGTTCATGCTTTCTATTCTACTGGTTTCTCATACTGCAATTTTTACCATAAATAATATATTTCCTGACTTGTAATGTCTTTGTTTACTCCCAAGGTGTTGATGTTTCATCATTTAGCACTCTCTGTCAAATTCAAGAAGCAGCCCATTTGAGTATTTCATAAGCATTCCAAACCTAAGAAATCAAAAATTGAGTTTGTCTTCTATTTACAACTTTGCTCCTTTCTTCTATTTTTAAAACTTCATCCATGAAATTATCACCCACCAGATCTTCCATGTCAGAAATATCAAAGTTATTCTCAATTCCACCCTAATTCTTCAAAGATTGGACTCCTTTTTTGGAAGATGACACTGGTAGCAGAGAGCTGGGTTTCTATTTGTTCATTCATTTTGGTATCATTTTTTAATCTCCCTGATTTCCATAGTGGGGAGGAAAAAAACAGATCAAGCAACTAGATAACTAAAACCCTAAGGAAAACATTTACAACAAAATTAAGTTGTAAGATATCCCCCACAAATTCAAAATTCAATCAGCTGGGACCAAACACAGTCACAAGACCTGTATGGAATTAACATCTGTGCAAGCAGCAGCAGACAGAAACATCAATGGGATAGCTGATGTGGGTGAATGCAAGAGAACCCCAAATTAGCTAACATCCTCTAGAACACATGATGAGCCAATTTTAAAACAGGAATTAAAATAGGGAGGGCTTTTGCCAAATCCAATATATAGTAGCTGAGATGTGAAGAGGTAGGAGCTAACAGCTATTAATTTTTAAAACTCACCAATTAGCACTCCTTTGTCTTGCAAAGTCACACAAAGAAGAAAATGTTGACAGATTAACTAAAACTGTAGATGACAGGGAACTAACTCGGGGCCATGAAAACCAGTTAATAAAGAACAAAGCATTTAACCTGTCTTTCTTATGGGAACTATACCACTAGTTAAGCAGATAGTAAATGAAGGGAAATGTCTCTTTATAAAAGCACTGCAGCTAATAACTAAAATAGATAGGATATAATTAGAATTTCACAATTTTGCAATACCAATGAATTACTAATTCTAGGCATTGAGCAGAAACAGCTATTAACATTGTAAAAGAGAACCAGGTAGTATATGCTTCTCAATGAAAGAACACTCTATTACCTATAGCCAAGCCAAAGGCTGATGAAGCCTTGGGTCCAGTTGTCCATTTATAAGATATACAAAAGATAGAAGAACATGTTGAGTAACATATGAATTTAGAATCAGAAAAATCCAAGCTGTGGAAATCTCTAAGACAAATGGTCCAGTTCTTCAGATAATAAATTGTAAGGGAAAAAAAAAAAGGGAGGAAACTGATAAGTTAAAAAACTTAAAAGACATATCACAATTTCTTTAATTGACAAGACTAAGCTAAACCCAAGCATATATATTTTAACTAATAAAACTATCAAGAAGTGCAGAAAAGCGATTAGCATAAACATCAGATTGTCAGAGAGGGCAGGGTTTGTGACTGGAATGGACAAATGGTGGGGCTTCTGGTGTGGTTGACAGTTTCACTTCTTTTTACAAGGTGGTTGTCACTGTCATTCACCTTAAAACAATGAATCATACACTTGTGCAGGATTTTTTAAACTGGGGGGTGATTCTATTTTACAATAAAAAGGTTCAAAATATAAAAAGAAGAAATTTGTCTTCTAATCTATTTCTAACCTACATTTTAAAGTCCAGCCTCTAGTCTGTGTCCCCATCACTTCTTATTTGGACCACTATTACAACTGCTGAACTGGACCTCTTGCCATTTTACTTAAACCGCAACCACACCCCACCTGGCATTTCCAAGTCCCCTTACTCTATTTTTCTTCTTTCTTGGCATTTATTACCTCCAAATATACTATATGGTTAATTGATTTATTATGTTTATTGGCATATTATACACCTTGTTACATTAAATTGGTAAACTCAGCTACAGCAGACATCTCTTTCTCTTTTACAGTTGTTAAGTACTTAGAATAGTTACTTTCATGTAGGAAGTACTCAATAAATATTTATTAAATGAAGGAACAAATTTCTCCCTTTCACAATATATCCTCCAGTGTTTTCTTCCTAAATGTAAGTCTGTCATGGTGTGGTTCTCCATAACACACAAGAAGTTTAAATTTTCAACAGGCATGTTGAGCCCTTCCTTCACAATGCAGACCCAGCTCCTCCCTACAAATGTTATCTCCTCCTGCTGCTCCATCAAGAACAACACCCTCACTGTCCTCTCACACCCCCTCAGCACACACACTCCACTCTCTAGTTGCAGTGAACTGTATTCACTGATCCCCCAACTGCCAAGTCCCTGAAGGGCTCCAAGATTTTGTTTCTATTGTGTCATCAGATAGAAGGGCTTTCTCACCACCTGGAAACAACTACTAGCTTCCAAGACATCCCTCAAATACCACCTCCTTTGCCAACTCTCCCAGCAAATACAGAACACTGTTCCTCTGTGATTGTATTTACCAGATTACAATGTAATGTTCAGCTTAGGGATTTGTCTTTCTGGCTAGAGTACAAATTCAAGGACAAGAGCCAGGTCTTCTTTCTTGTTGCATCCCAAGTATTAGGTATCCTGATAGTGTTGTTTGACAAAATTACATTGACCAAACCACATTCTATTCTTTTTAGCCAATTTCCTTCCAAAACAAATAAGGAACTTCATAAAATTATTTTTAACTAAACAGAGTGGATTCCAATCTGTTGTTCCCAGGAAATATTTTAAAAGCTGTAAAATTCCTGCTCATTATTCAAAAGGAAATAAGCTTTCTTTTACTAGCCTGTATTTGGAAATGAATCAGAGAGCACAATTTAAAGAATTTTAAGAGAAAAGAGAATGTGGTTTACCTTTCTAAACATTTTTGATATTTCAAGGTTGTTAGACTTCCTAGATATACTTGTTATACTAAAGGCAAACCAAATTCACTAACCATCCAAGCTAATTGTAAAAATCCTCAGATATTTAAGATTTAAAAGCAAGACAGTGGGCTGGGGTTGCAGTTCTGTGCTTACCATACACAAGGCTCTCGGATTGATCCCCAGCACCACCAAGAATTTAAAAAAAAAAAAAAAAAAAAGCAGGACAGTGAAGACAAAGAGGACAACATGATAAGGCACAACCATTCTGGAACATGACTTAGAAGCATAGCTCTTTTTGCAAATAAATCTAAATATTATTAGGAATTCTACTGTGTAAAATACAATCAAATTGGTATTATTATGCAATAAAAACAAAGAAGGCTTTTTTCTCAATGGCTAATGTCATAATTAACACTAAAAAGATACAACTTTATTCTGATATAGCTTCAATATCTAATTTACTTTTGTATTGTGTTTTGGTTGCTTGTGTAGAGAAAATTTTTGATTCACAAATGTAAACATAAGCATTTCTAATAGCTTTCCTGGCAACTTCAGCACAGTCCCAAATTAAACTGATACAGGAAATTTAAAGAGAAGTAGTTGGAAATTTTTTGTTTGAAAGATAGATACAAAAATTATTTATCACAAATATAAAAAATCAGACAAAGAGCTTCCAGCCCTTACAACTGCTAACACTATGTATAACAGTATTACTGCCACATGGCCCAGTTGTCGTGTAACAGCAGCATGCCATGCCAGGGACTATAATAAGCTCATGCATGGGTCCCTTCCCTGGCCAACACCAAGCACAGCAAACCTGCTGCAGTAGAATCCTCACTTGCACAGTGTACCTTGAGAAAGCATGTGCAAATCCAAATGTTTTTTAAAAACCAGCACAGCATTACATTCTTCCTCATCCACGGCATATTTATAGGCTCTCCCAAACATATGAAGAGATTAAACAAGAGATAGAGCTTTTTTTCCTAGGATCTATCCGTCAACAAGTTTAAATTTAGAAGCAGAGTAGTGAACTATGTACTAAAGGTTTGATACTTAATGCGTTTAGAAGATTGTTGTTTCTTCCTATAACTTTTAAATTAAATGTTTTTAAATGAATAGAATTTTCAGAATCCTTGGATAAAATAGAGCACAGTTTGAAAACTACTTGGAACTAATGGCATTAAAAGTTCTGGAATAATCCCAGCCTTATTTAATAGCTTCACCATGTAATTTAACTTCTCCACATCTTAGTTTCTTTATTTAATAGGGAAAACAATACCTAAACTAAATTATTCAAGTAAAAAAATTTTCAATTACTTTTAGGCTACATAATATAAGATGTGCCCAAATGGAAATGGGCTAAATATTTACAAAAGACTGTCAGGGAAGGAGATAGGGGGTTGAAGGTAGAGATTTTAAAAATATCTACAACAAACATTAAGACTTCTCTTAAACAAAATGCCTCTAGCTTACCAAGAGAGCTAAAATACACTGCAGCAAGAGAGCATACAATAAACTCATAGTTATGGCCCTGCATATATCCTTCACCCATACTGATATTCTCCACCTTTCTGTACCCTAAAAACAAATGGCCTTCCTTCCACCAAACCCCCCCCACACACACACACACCTAGTTTC